CCTATGAACCAGGAGGTCATGGTTCGATTCCTGGTCAGAGTACATGACAGGGTTGAAGGCTCAATCCCCAGCAGGTGGAGTGCAGGAGGCAGCTGATCAGTGATTCCCTCTCATCATTTGAGGTTTTTATCTCTCTCCCCTTTTCCCTTCCTCTCTAAAATAAAAATATTTTTCAAAAAAAAAATTTTTTTATAAAGAATGTATTTACGGAAAATGAGACCCAAGCTAACTCCAAAGGAATTCTGAAAGGCAATTCCATCGTAATAGTAAAGAATCTTATAGAACACTGTAACAAACCCAATGACTCAGAATCAGGCTGTCTGGCTCTTAGGACTGGGACGATTCCAGTTCCTGATGTAGCTGACCTGTAAGGGAAGCACCGCATCCAGAGGCTGTGGGTCTCCTGGAACACTGATGTCCCCACGTAGTGTCAGGATTAGAGGACATGCTCACATTACTTATTGGGTAAAGTATGTTCAAAGTTAGAAGAAAAAAATCCCCTCATATAAAGAATTTGATCCAGTTGGAAAAAACAGATTAAAAACTATGGCTAAGATCCAAGTTGAAGGTTTTCATGGAATAGTACAATGTGTGGTAATTAATTTGTGGGGGGAAAAACAAGTCAACTATTTCAAACAATAAAAATAGAAACATGTTTGAAAAAAAAAAAAAACTTCATTGAGTGAGTAATTTTAGTAAATGGATTAACTACACCTGGAAAATACGGAAATTTTAGAATAGGTGAGAGTAACTCTAAAATATTAGAATGAAAATTCAAAGTTTTCCGTTTCTATCATGTACTTTAAACATTTTACTTGGGAAATTTTCAGTATCAAAACCTTGTAGGGAAATGCTCCTGAAAAAAAAAAAAAAGAGTAGGAGGAAAATTTTTGGCTTGAAAAGAGGAAAATGTGATTCAGCTAGAAAACATCTTGAAGCTTGGTCTCTGAACATATAAAAATGCACACGGCAAAACAAAGCAAGGCCAACTAGGAATAGATTAAGTCCCGGGCAAAAATCAAATAAAAGCTTGAAACAACCCAAATTCTCCTCAAAATAAAGTGTCATGGATTCATCAAGTGAGAGAGGAAGGTCCCAAAAGCTAACTAAAGCCCTCTGGCATCTCTACTCATAATTCTGTGTACAATCCAGGGGAAGCCATGGGGACATTCAGAGAGACCCTTTCTCGCTTGTATTTGAAAAAGTTAAAGACCATGTGACAGGAATTGGGTCCCCTATCCAAGGTAAACCAAAGGCTTTTAGGAGGGTAGGCCAATGCTGGAGAGAAGCTCCTTGGATTCCATCCAGAAGAATGTGATTGGCCCAAAGGATTCAAAACAGATGACCTAATATATTTTTAACCTTTTTATTGTAAAGTAACATGGATACAGTAAACTAGACAAAACCAAAAGTAGATCTATTCACTTCTCCAAAGGATCAGTAACTGGTGATCCGAACACTCTAGAGCCTTCATTGGCTTCTAACTCAGAACTGTCCTTGAAGGCCAGCAGTGCCTTGTTACATAAGCCCCCATGCTCTTCTGGCATCCTCCAGAACTTTCTGCTGAGCCACGTGGGGGTCTAATGTGGAAAGGAAGGTAAGCAGGAATTCGTTCTATCGGTAGAAAAGGAAGGCTGCGTGTAAAGCTCCTTCTCAGAGGAAATCTCACTTAAAAATTATCTTGCTACTAGGCAGCCTAATATACAAGAGAGTATCTCTCTTTACCCAGTTAACTGCTTGCAAAATACTCATGTTACAATGCTGACAGGACCCAGTTTGATGGCTTCCCACTGGTGAAATTTGAGGCAATTTGAGCATCAAAATGCATGACAGTCTATAATTCATTGAATAAAGCAAGGAACCTTAAATCCATACTAACGTAAATGAGTAAATAAATGCAGAGATGGGAAAGCTGTTCTCTACAACTAGGAAGAGAATAGTTCCTTCCCACTCAGAAATTAAGTGAAAGCTTTAAATCCAATCCATCTAAAAATAGACTATAAATACATAATATACTTAAATATAAATATATGCATATAATATCTATAGAAGGTATGATGGAATTGTAAAATCACCAATGAATGTTAAAACTGTGGGTGAATTTTAGTGACGCACAGTATATTTTTACAGCACCCCCCCACGTTACTTAAGGTTACAGAGGGAAATGGACAGCTCCATCTCAACCAAATGAGCAAAGCTGACTTCGCCAGCCTTGAGACAAACCATCATTCCAGGACCTTTCCTCTTCCCACTATCAACCACTGAGGACACAGTATCACTTCATAGCATTCCTGCCAAAAATGCGAAACTTGAAATATAATTGCAAGGAAACACCAGACAAACCCAAGTGGAGGGACTTCTACAAAATAACCAGCCTGTATTCTTCAAAAATACCAAGGTCTAGAGAGACAAAGAAAAGCTTGGGAACTGTATCAGACCCAAGGAGACTTCAGAGATATAGACAAAGCATAGGATTCTAAACTGGGTCTCTGAGGAGAAGCTGGAGAGATGAGTGGAGCAGCTGTAACGTGAATAGGAACTATATTGTCGTGTATGGATTCAGTTTCCTCATTTTGATAACTATGTTATGGTCATATATGAGAACGTCATCGTTCTTCTTGGGAAATACACACTGGATTATCTAGGGGAAAGGGTACCCCGTCTTCAAATTACTCTGAAATGGTTCAGGGGGGGAAATGGTGTGTGTATATTAAGAGAGGAAAACATAAAAAATATAGCTATGGTGTAAAAGTTTAAAAAAAAGTTGATAAAGGATTTTTCTGTACTATTCTTACAAGTTTTCTACAAACTTAATGTTACAGACAATGCTGCAATGTTTGCAAAATTCACCTCTTTCTGAGATACCATCCAAATTCAGTTGTTCAAGTTTCTTGTCCCAGAGCAACTAACAATTTGGATGCTACATTCTCCCTAATATTAAAAATAGGAACTATGAAATAAAACCTCTTAACAGGGAGGTGATAAAAGTACAAATTTTAAATCAGTATTTATCTAAATACTAACTTCCTTAATATTTTTCTAGTAGTTCCTAATCTTATTTCCTTCTTAACAGGAAGAGACAAGGCCGCTAAGATTAAATTTTAAGTATTCTGTTTAAAAGTCCACTTGAGGAAGAGTGCTGGCAATATAGAGAACTTGGAAGTCTAGCACTCTCATCTTCTCTGTCCCCAGATCCTGCTGTCTTCAGGGATGTGCTGAGCATGTCATTTTCCGGGTCAACCACTCTGCCCCTGATGCTGTTACAAAATAAGCCGTCCGTCTCTGGGTGCATGAGTCAGCATCTGTCCACTTGCTGATCATTTTAGAACATTGGTTGTTGGGAAAATTCTGAATCCGATACTGGAGCAGGGCTTCGCTGCCTCAAAAACGCCTCTGATCCACTCCCAGGACATCTGTGATCCTGCTGGAGGATCACCCAGTGCAATGCGGTCATGTTGTTCCATGTGATACTTTCTTCTTCCCATTCCCCTGAAAACGTGCAGGTGGAGTAGAGCCCCAGCTCAGCTATCAGAGTCCCTGGGTTCTAGGCCAGGACAGCCGGTGATGTGTGGTGGAAGCTGGACCAGAGCCTCTCAACGCCTCAATTTCCTTCCCCAGAAAACCCCAATCCTGCTGGGTGCGGACCAGCCTTTCTCCAGGCCTGCAGCCCCGGGCCTGTTCCCTTCTCTTCAGCCCATCTCCTGGGGCCCACCCATCCCACTGAGTCAGTTTTCTTTTCTCAGGCTCTCCCCCATTCTCTCCATCCTCAGGGCCACTGTGGGTTCAGTTCGGATCTTCATCACTTCCCACCTGAAATTCTACAACAGCCTCTGGTTAACTGGTCTTCCTTCCTCAACCGCTCCCCTCACCCTCCCTCCACTACTGTTCTTTTCTTCTTAAAAGCTATTTTCCAAAATGAAAATCTGATCATGGCCCTCCCTTCGTAAGCCTCCCCTGGCTCCCAATGAACTCACACAATAACGATACCACAGCGCCTTAGCATGAGCATAGGTCTGACTCCCTCTATTCCAGTTACCCCTTTTGTCCTGTCTTTGATCTTCTTTCCTTTTCATTGTAGGATCCACATCCATCTATTTACTTACCCCTCTCCCCCCACAGTAAAATGGATAAGGGCAGAGATTTTTCAAGATCAGAGTCCTATGACTGGGACCCGGCACGGTGCCGGCAATCACAGTGCGCGCGAGAAACTGAACCCCGGTTAGTCATCAGCACTTCATTTTAATGAACAGGTCAGAGGAAGAACAGGCTAGGATAGTGTTTACAATCAACTTCTGAAAAAATCACATGTACATAAAGGAAACAAAACAGGCCAGGAATCCCCGAAAGGTGCAGCTCGTATTATTATTGCACTTGAATACAAGGCCCCAGGGAGTCTCTTTTCTGGATTCTGAACTCTCTAGCGGCCTCCAAAACATTGAACATTTCAAAACATTCCGTTGGAGCTCTTTACAGAGGGACTGCTATGTCTTCAACACGCGTTGGTTGCACCCACTGGCTCTTACGATTCTTTGAAAGTTGGAGGTAGGCTGGACCTCACGTGCTGGGACACCGGTTACACCAGCAGCACCGGAGGCCGGGCCGTGGAGAGCGGGTTGAGGGAGAGAATTTCGACTTGACACACTTTTAGGGACCAAAACTGTGGCTATCGTTTCAGTCAAGCACTCTTCATTTTGGTCATTTATTTCGGGACATGAGAAAAAGGGACGGGGTACGAATCAATGCTAGAGTGATTCCTAAGCTATTTGTAGAAAATGGATTTGAATTTGAAAAAGTCCTAGCTACATTCTGGAAGTGGCGTAACTGTGTGTGTAAGAAAAAGGCTTGTAAACTTATAGAAAAGATAAACTCTGACTTCTAAACAAATTACAAAATTGATTTTGCCCTTCCCTTGAGTGTTATACAGAAAAATGTAAACCAGTGGATTTAGTTACAAAAAAAAAAAAAAAAAACCCACTTGTCCCCGAAGCCGAGGAGTGACCTTAAAGCTTGGCCTGAGCTAGTTTTATCTTCAAGTTTTCTCCGAGTTTGTCCATGAACTCAAACGTATTCAAGTAGTCAGAACGTTGCACGCTGACAGAGGGAAAGAAAGAAAAGACAATTTAGTCTCTGATCTGTAGCAGGCAGAGGAAACATCCTAGGAATGCTAAAGCAGCATTCTGTTTACGTCTAGAAAACGGATTAACAGTAATAAGCTGCAAGCTTGGGGCTGATGACTGTCAGCCAGGCTACAGGCCGCTTGAGTCTGGGCCACACACATTCTGAGGAGATTCCTGCCGTGTGGCTGTGAGGGGAAACCATCACAGAGCATTAGCTCAGACTCATGCCTCAATGCCTGGGAGAAGGAAGCCATTCGGGGCATGCCAAGCTTTCACATACATCCCCACAAGCTGTCACATGTCCTTAAAAAAAGTTTTAATGATCTTATTTCTGTGTTTTACTTAAAAAAAAAAAAAAAAAAAGAGCTTGGCTGGTGTGGCTCAGTGATTGAGTGTCAACCTATGAATCAGGAGGTCCCAGTTTGCTTCCCGGTCAGGACACATGCCCCGGTTGTGGGCTTGGTTCCCAGTGGGGGTCGTACAGGAGGGAGCCAATCAATGGTACTCGCTCATCATTGATGTTTCTCTTTCTTTCTCCCTCTCCCTTGCTCTCTCTGAAATCAATAAAAACATTAAATAAATTAAAAAAAAAAAAACACCCAAAGATAATCACAAAAAGACAACAAAATCCTGCTGATAGGTGCCTATTCAAATAGGCTACAAAGGTACCATACCAATAAGGACATGTCAAGCGCTGTGCTTTTGCTACAACTTTAAGAAAGATGTTGTGACCAAGTAAATCCTGGGGCTTACTGACACACAGTTGGGACATGAGACTGATGTTAAACTTAGTGTAAACAACTCTGACTTTGAGGACGAAGTCTCTGACTAGCAGCTAATCCAGCTGGGATACGGGTTACCATGACTTCAGACAAATACATGGGTCCTCAAACATGTGACTGCTGGTTACAGATACCTAAGGAAGAGACTGACCAACTCAGCATCTAACAGCCTGTGCTGCTTACTGTTCTCATCTACAAAGTGAAAAAAATAGAGGGTGGGCTAAAATAGCCACAGAGATCCCTTTGTTTCTGTCTATAATTTCCTTATTAAATTAAATGGAACCTTGCCCCCAATGGCTGCCCACTGGCCCCTGGACCCGATCCAGGCTGCAGCCTCGTTTTGTATCTACTTGGATTGAAACGTGGCCACACCCATTCTAGAGGCTGATTATCTGCCACTGCTCTCAGGCCACAAAGTTCAATAGCTGCTTAGCGTGGAAAAGGCTGTATGTTCACACAGCCTGAAATGCTTATTGCCTGGCGATTTAGATAGCGTCTGCTGACCCCTGAACTAATGATAAGTAATGAATTCATCCACTTCCAAAAAGCACTCATGTTTTAAGCCCAACGAGGACAAGTGGGCGTTTGACCACAGAGCCCACGGCGCCATCTACCTACTTGGGTAAACCTTTAATACAGGCAGCCAGGTCCTTGGTCATGAAGCCAGCCTCGATGGTCTCCACACAGACGTCTTCCAAAGCCTTTGCAAAGATGCCGAGCTCCTTGTTGTTATCCAGCTTAGCTCTGTGAGCTAGCCCCCTGGTCCAGGCAAAAATGGAAGCTGAGAGAGAAAGCACACACACACACTTCAGTCATACCAGCCGGACGTATCCCCAAATGTTTCCGTTCCCAAACATAGAATTGTTTTTTAAATTTAGGTGGCTGGCTTCATCAGATACTCTCCTCAAGCACTCTCAATTTTAGGTGAGTTGGAAATATTTTACTGAACAGAAACTTTTTTTAAAAAAAAATCTGCATGTTTGTAGGAGAAATGCTTTGGGTTTTGGTAGAGCTGCAAGGAAGCACATTTTCATTGTGTGGAAGTAGCTTGAAGCTTAGGGCACTTACTAATTTGCAGAAGGTCACAATCTCTTCTATCTCTTTGTTTATATTGGTCTTTTCTATCCCTTTGTCTATATTGGTCTCCCCTCCCCTTTCCCGATCCCTCCCTCTCTCCTTCCCTCCCTCATCATCACCCAAGGATATGTTTAAAGAGAGAAAGGAAGAGAGAGAAACACTGATTGTACGTGCCCTGACTTGGGATCAAACCCCCAACCTGTAATCTCTTCTGAATGTGTGCTATCCTTGAAGCTGGGTTAGGAGGATCTATTTGTGTGGCTCTTAGATTCTCAGCCATGTGTGACATTTCAGTGTGCCAGAGGGAAAGGGAAATGCTGTTGATAGCATTCTCCTCTACGATGTGTACCGTCCCTCCAGATGAAAAAGCATGTATTGCGTATATTTTAAGAAGCACATGAAAGCAGCTCTCGTCAGGGGAACGAGTCCGCTGTGTGTGGTGATTTCACACACAAAGCATCTGGCGGCCACAGGAACACGTCGGGGTCCCTGTTGGGTCCCCCTCTCCGGCTGGCAGTGTAGCAGTGACCCCGGCTCACCGATGGGATTGGTAGAGGTCTCCTGCCCCTTCTGGTGCATGCGGTAGTGGCGTGTCACAGTCCCGTGGGCAGCCTCCGCTTCCACCGTCTTGCCGTCCGGACAGATCAGCACGCTGGTCATCATGCCGAGGGAGCCGTAGCCTGTAAGCGGCAGAGCGTGAAGGACCGGCTTCAACTGCACGGAGGGCCCTGGGCCGCCCGGGGCCCAGAGCCAATGACCTCACCGTCCCAGGTCCCGGGGCCAGACAAACATCACAGTCCTTTCCCCTCGCTCACTGATCGCAGAGGCACCTGCTCCGGGGCCCAGGGCCTGACTGCCTGCGTTCCACCCGAGTTCTGTGACTCTAGCTACTGTGGCCTAGCTTTCTAACCTGTAAAATGGGTTGAATAAAACACCGACTTCGCCGAAACCGGTGTGGCTCAGTGGATAGAGCATCAGCCTGTGGACTGAAGGGTCCCAGGTTCGATTCTCCGGTCAAGGACATGTACCTTGGTTATGGGCACATCCCCAGTGGGGGGTTTCTAACTTTCTATGCCTCTCCCTTCCTCTCTGTGAAAAATCAATAAAATATATATTTTTTTAAACACACAAAACAAAACAAAAACACCGACTTCATCAGCTCATTGTACGAACTATTATAGATGAATACACCCATGTGCGGGAACAAACATGGAATTTATTCGTTCCTGAGGGTGGCGCCTGCCCCAGAGAAAGAGCCCTGCGCGTCGCTGCCGATGCCCCCCGTTCTGGGAGAATAAGCACCAGGGAGCCGACTGTGCCATCAGGCTGCACACAGACTGGCTGGGTTTGGCAAGAAAAGGCAGGGGGAGAGAGGATGGGATGGATCCAAGGACACTCCTCTCAACCTTCCTCTCTCTAGCAGCCTCGCCAAATAATCACACTCCGTGGCTTCCTATTCTGGGACCATATTATAACTTTTAAGTCCAGGCAACTGATTTCTTATATCACTCTTTTACATTTGATTTCAAAGAACACATTTCTCCACCTTTTTTTTTTTGCTATTTCCCCAAGGCACCTGAGAAATTAACGCAAATTTATAACCGGCCGTTACTTTATTTTCTCTAAGTCTGAGAATAAAGTAAACAAACGTAAATAACTTAAGCTCAGCTTCCACCCGGTTAGGAATTCCTGTGTGGGGTTACGAGTTCCTCTCGTGTCCCTGTGTTGGTCTGAGGCTTCAGCGAACCCTCAAACACTCAGCGGCTGGAGAAGCAGGGGCAGGACACTTCCCTCTGCATGTGGGTTTGCCTGTGCAGCACTGCGGGGAGGCAGCAGCTGCCAGTGACACATCTGGTGCGGGGCCGGTGGTTCGTTCCCCCGGAGGAGAGTGACGGAAGACAGCCCGGCTGTCTCTTCATCTGCTCAGCTGCCCTGAGGTCACACTTATCTAGGGCCTCTGCCCGGGCAGCCTTGGTTCCAGGCCCCCTATCAGTGTGCTCCCGGCCACGGCCCTTCACAACTCCCATGCCAGCCTGCTGAGCCTCTGTAGCTGACGTTCGCCATTGAAATCTCACCCTCAATGCGCTCTCCTGGTTGCCAGGAGGCTACGTCGAAAGGATGGAATGATCTGGGTCCCTCACGGAGAACTCCAAGGACAAGGACGTGTCCCTAACCCACCACGGACTCGGCAGAGAGCCGCCCTCCTCCCTCTCCCGCACCCCGAGGGCTGGAGCCGCAGGGGAGCGGAGGGTGTGCGGCAACTCACTCCATCTGACATCACAGCGGCCTTTCGCTGCGTTGACCTACTGATTCTAAACCTGACAGGAGATGTTTAACTTTGTCATAAGGGAAAGGACAAGCGGTACTTCCTGGGGAAAGCAAACATAATTCAAGTCGACGCAAACATTCGCCCGGGGAGAGTCCAGCTGACAGTGGGATGGAAGGGTACGTTGGTGCTGGGGGAAGGAGGGCCTGTGGTTTACACCCGTCACGTTTCCGAGTTTCTATGAACAGCCCTGGGCTTCGCTGCTCCGCTCCTCTGTGTGCCAGGCTAAGCAGTGAAAGGCGCAGAGCAGCTGGCAGGGCTGCTGGAAGGGCAGGAGGGACTGCTGTTGCCAGAAGAGTGAGCCCTTGGTTCCTTTTCAACCTGCTGCTCCCTGCTGTGCTAGCTGATGCCAATCAATGGGTCGAGAAATGAGGGATGGTGGCTAGTGCCTGTGTCCCCTCTAGTGGTCTGTTTGCTTACGCACCCTCAATACCTTCACCTCAACAATAGCGGCGGCAAGACCACGCTGGTTCAAGCTCAGCGAGTGCAGGGAAGGGTCCTACAAAAGCGATGGGAAGACCTGATCTCACACCCGGCTCTTTCTCACGGGATGTGTGCCTGCAACGACTTCACCTCCGGCCTGTTTCTTTATTTGTGGAAGGAGGGAGAGAAGGGGAAGAAGAAAGAAGAGGAAGACATAAAGAGGAAGGGAGAGAAAAATAGAAAGGGAGAAAAAGAAAAAAGAGAAAGCGGTTGGACTAGGTAAAAGATTTCAAAATTCCCTTCTCGCTTCCAGCTTGTTGTATTTCGAGGCTATGTTTTTAGGGGAATAAACATTTAGAATTGGTTAAAGAAAATAAAAAAAGAACAATGAGCTCTTGGAGAGATCCTCTTTGGTTATTAGACAGCTCAGGCCCCTCGCGTTACCCCTCCTTGCCAAGTTCTCGGAGGAGAAATAAAGGCAGGAAAGGGAGTGATAGCTTCCAGTGGAGAAGCATCCAAGGCTGGAGCCAGGGTCTCAAGCACTGAGCTCCTTCTGGTGCGACCCTAAGGAGTAGCTCCTGGACCCTGAGGAGTAGCTCCTGGACCCTGAGGAGAAGCTCCTGGACCCTGAGGAGAAGCTCCTGGACCCTGAGTAGCTCCTGGACCTTGAGGAGTAGCTTCCCCAGTCGGGGCCCAGCTTCCTCTTCGGTCAGCGGAGCCGAGGCCGGGCAGCACTCACACCTCGTGGTGTTTACAGACAAGGGCTACAGACCCTTCTTCCTGAGCTGGAAGACGGCCATGGCATTGCCCACCCGCCGCAGGACCCGCCCCGCCCCTCCCCGGTGGCCCCGCCCTCACCTTGGGCCACGGAGTCGGACTGCACGTCGCCGTCGTAGTTCTTACAGGCCCAGATGAAGCCGCCCTCCGACTTCATGGCTTGGGCGACCATGTCATCGATGAGCCTGTGCTCGTACCAGATCTTCTGGGCCTCAAACTGGGCTTTGTACTCCCTGAGGAAGAAGAGGGACAGGGACACAAAAGGAGGAAAGTTGGTTTGGGGAGGGATGTCAGGTGTTCTCCGAAGGGTGGGGCTGGAAGCAGTATCTTCAGTGGCAACAGCACCAACGGAGGGACCTGACACACGGGCTCAAACCCCTGCCCAAGCATGGTCAAGCTGTGCGAGCACTCCGGAGAGGTGTGAGAACTAAGCAACACAGGCGTTTCCCAAGCACCACGTTCATAGTTTTCAATACACAGCTGGTCAGATTCTTGGGATTCGGCTTACTTTAAAGAATGTAAAAGGGGGTGGGGTGGGAGGGAAACCATTCTATTGCTTGATGTCATTCAGGAAGCTAGGACAGCTTCCAGGCATAGGACATGGGCAGCAGGAAGAGGGATTAAAACGTCTCATGGAGGAGATGTCCAAAGGGAGTTAAAATGTAACCCGTGCTCCCAGGTTGTGGAATCTACGGCTGTTATAAAGGCAGGCGTCAGCCCAAGAGGCTCCACTAAAGCAGAGGTTTAATCACGGCAACAGGTGTCGGAACAGAAATGGACCCAACTCAGAAACTCATGCTCGAAAAATTAGGACTCTCTGTCAGCAGCAGGGCACCTTTCTTCAAACAACACATAATAATTCTGGCTCTGAAACAACACAAAACCGTGGGACCCGGATTTGAGAACACGTTTATCTTCGAAAAGCAACGTAAGAATGATTTTGTTTCACTCCTATTGAGTCTGTTTCACTCTTGTCTCTAAGGGATAGTGATGGTTTTCACTCAATTTCCCCAGAACCAAAAGGACAAGCATGCACATTCTACACTATAGATGCCAGCTTGAGAAAAAGGGAGGAAAAAAGGAGCTGTAGTTACTTGTCATAGATCTCCTGAAAGATGTCTTTGAAACGGCCATCGTATTTCTTCAGAATAGTGTTTTTGGTGCTCAGGTACAAAGGCCAACTCTTGGACAAAGCCATCTGGAAAGAACTGTGTGCAAACTCTTTGATTGACTTATCTTGATTGTACATCCCCATGGCAACACCACCACCATCTGTGGGGGAACACCAAGGAGAGAAAAAAAAGAGAAATGGGGTTCAGTTGTAACAAGTTGAAATCCACCCACCACCACAAATCACCCAATTCCCAGCTCCCATGCCTAAGCCCAGGCTTCATGAAGTCCCAGCCAGGCTCCCAATTTGAATACCCCATGAGCTCCTGAGGCACAGAAGGGCGGGAAATCAGGCATAGTTAAGGACATTCTAAGTTATTTTCAAAGGGCAATAGAGATGATAGAAAGAGATACGGTTTTTAGGATGCTGAAGCTACTGGAATACGGAAATCCACTATGAACCAGAGCTATACTCAAGAAAGGATGAATAATTTTTAAAACTGTCCTTTCATACTTTTAAAGTTTCAAACGTGTATTTTTAAACTCTTAAGTGTGCATTCAATCCTCAGCCAGAGACTGAAAATTCTTGTAATCCCCTGGACGATACGGACAGTTCACACCATCATTGGTAGAAAAAGTTAGGCTACATGTAATCACTGGTGTTTCACAACTCTTGTTCCTTGAACTTTGTTATTGCTGAAAGACAGAACCTGAATTCATTCCACTGTCCAGGGCCAACTTGGGCACAGAATGTGAAAGGGGCTGAAAGCAGCAGAGCTAGATTCCATGAAAATGACAAGACCCATGGATACAGAGAACAGAATGATAGCTGTCGGAGGGCTGGGGTTGGAGCCTGGGTGAAGGGATTAAGCAAAGAAAAAAAAAAGAAAAAGAAAAACTCATGGACACAGACAGCAGTATGGTTGTGGCCAGAAGGAAGGGAGCAGGTAGGAGAAAGTAAAGGGGGGGATGAGTAGTGATGGAGGGAGACATGCTTGGAGTGGTAAACACACAACAGGCAGATGATGTATTTATTGTTAAACTGCGAACCTGGAATCTGAATAATCTTATTAACCAAAGTCACGTCAATAAGTTCAATTAAAGAGGATTATTATTTAGAGGAAACAAGGGGAAAAAAGCTAGGTAACTTTTCCATTTTTGTTTGTGTGAATGCTTTTAATAACTTCAATAATGGAGAAAGAGGGTCCCCGTTTTAAGTGGAATTCACCATAATGGAACTTTTGAAGCAGGAGAATGTTTGGCAAGAAAAGGCAAAAAACAAATGTTCTTCTCCCACAGAATGAACATGCAGATGGGCAAGAAGAACATTTCAGCAAGTATGTAACATAACTACTTTTTAATACAAACCCTACCAGAGCAAATGATAGGATTACTTGGCAGATGAGTTGGAGATATTTTTTGTCTTTTCTTTTTTTTTTTTCCCAGAGAGTAAGGAGGGGGGGGGGAGAGAAATATCAATGATGAGAGAGAATCATTGATTGGCTGCCTCCTGCCCACCCCTCCTGAAAATCAAGCACGCAACCCAGGCATGTGCCCTTGACCGGAATCGAACCTGGGACTCTGGTCCGCAAGCCGACGCTTTATCCACTGAGCCAAACCATGCTTAATTTATATAATTCGTGCACAACAGACTCCTGCCAACCTTCCCTTCGTGATTTAACAGAAATGCCCATTTATCAACCTGTCTTTGCCTTTAAGCATTTCCAATTGGGCGGCTCACCCTTTTGTACCCTTATCCAGGCCACAGGAAGGCGTGGAGGTCAATTCCTTTTTCATTCCAATTTAAGGTCCTTCCTGTAGTCACGTTATAGGTTCAGGCTGCACTGTTAGGCAGCCACACAACAAACTTTAAACAACCGGAAATATTGCTGCCTAAATGATCTGTGAAAAAACTATCATGATGAACTTTAATTGCATACCTTCAAAGTTATGTACCACGTATGTCTGTTTTTGGGATCCATCGCTTGGCGTGTAGGTTATCTCTACTTTCCCAGGCCCGGGAACAACAAAATCAGTTGCTCTGTACTGTGCAGAGGGCAGAGAGGGAGGGTATTAAAACAACAACAACAACAACTATTCCAACAAGTGTCACAAAAAATAGGGGGGAAAAAAATCAGAGGACAGAGCTGGAAGACACCTAGACAAATAGCACAGTGTAGCTCAGCCTTCTTTTATTTGAGAGATGGGGACGAGGAGGTCCAGAGAATCCCGGAAGCTAATCAGTGGTAGCACACGTTAAAGCTCAGTATTTACTGGGTGCCTACCACACACAGGATGGTTTTCTGACACTGGTATGGAGAGGAGTGAGAATTGATACTTTGGCAAGTTATTTCCCTTATCAAAGTGGGCACAGACGAAGAGTGCTATGGGATGGCAGAGGAAGAGAAATGACATGACCTGGAGGTCAGGGAAGTCTTTCTAGAGGGGGTGATGAAGATGAAGAGCGAATGCCTTGTCCTCATTGTAGGATAATGCTCTGAGTGAGTAACCAGTTCATCTCGTTATCTCACTTGATTCTTCCATCACTCTGACAAGGAAGGGACTGTGGTGTTGGGGAAATACTTGGGTCAAAAAGACTTGGGATCTGGTCCTTGGACCTTCAGAGCTGTCTCTTCATGATTATCGTCATGGCAAATGCCCAGCCCAGAACTTGTCCATAGGAAGCCACCTTCTGGAAGCAGGTGGTCCTTAGAAAAGGGCCGTCTGAGGGAAGCCATCTCTCTCATGGGCATGAGGATACGCTAGTGGGAAAATGTGCGCAGCCTGCACCAGACACCTGTTAAATCTTGGCTGCATGGTGCCTTCTTCAGTGACAGAGATGACTAGTTTCAGTCAGGTGTCAGCATCCTTTGGTTGTCTGCAGAGAGCGATACTAGTGACAGCTGGTAAACGCTGTCAGATAACGATGCAGACTCACTATCCGGAACACTCTGACATATAAAATCCTCCGCTAGGGGCATTTATTCCGTTCTCAAAAGGAAGAAACTGAGGCTCCGGAGCACCATGCATGCGTTGTAGATGTGTATGCACATTCACACGATCAGGGGATCGACCGGAAGTTTAGAATTTTCAATCTGGACTTTAACAAATAGAATGATCCATCATTCTTCCAAGCGATTGATACCAAAGTAGTAGTAAGAACAATAACAACGACAGACAAAAATGACCCCACTAGACTCAAAAGAGCTTGGGGCGGGGAGGGGTTTCCCAGAATTAGGACGTGTGTAGCACCCCCATCTGCACGCCCTCTCCTGGCCTCTGGGAGATCCCTGGGAAGGGATAGGCCAGGCTGGAGGAGGTACAGTTTGAGCCACAAGACAGAACAAAGGGAACGACCCGTCAAGCAGTGACCTGGTGACCTTGTCCCAGGAACAGAGCAAGGTCTTCCCCGGCCAGACTGCTTCCAAGGAGCTGTGAACACCACAGCCTCTGGATTTCGGAGTCAGGGACGCTTGTTTTCAGGGTCTTTTAGGACAGACATTACTTTCTATGAAGCTCTGCATACCTCAGTTTCAACATGAAGTTCTGATTTTGTTTGGTTGGCTGGCTTTCTGTGTAATTTGGCAGCCAGCCTACTTGTACAGAAGTACAGAAATGAAACTTTGCCAAGTAGGAAAAAAACTGTCTTAAAGGGGCTGTTTTCAACTACTGGGCCAGTTTTTTTCCTTTTATGTCTGAAATGACCACGTTCCATATACTCTTTGGTGATTCCCATCCCTGCCTGCACTTTGGATCGCTTGGGGAGCTTAAAATGCCTGAATCGCATCGGATTCAAATTCATCGGGTCCCAAGCATTGGAATTAAAACAGAACAATACTTTTTTTTTTTTTTAAATGCAAAATAAAACAAACACCAAGAAAACCTATAAAAGGATCCTTTTAGAGCCAAGGTTGAGGATTACCGATTTGGTTGAAGCACAGGAAATTATCCAGACAAAAAAAAAAAATGTCAATATTACATGGTTTAAATGAACAAAAAGATAAAGAAAAAAAAAAAAAATCATGTATGTTTAGACAGATGCCCGTGAATCTTGCTTTATTTACTTCTACCTAAATGTGTAAACAGACAGATATCCATATATGCCCTTCTCAACCGTGCGCTCTGTTTGATGGAAGCGGTCTCCGAAAGAGAAGCATGAAACACACGTGATTCAGGACCGCCGGGCAGCCAGAGGCCGCGAGGAAAGAACGGGATGCCCAGCCGCGCCGCGCGACTCACCTGGTCCCCGTACGCATGGCGGCCGATGATGATGGGCTTCACCCACCCGCTCACGAGCCGGGGGATGTTTTTGCAGATGATCGCCTCCCTGAAGACAGTGCCGCCCAGAATGTTCCGGATGGTGCCGTTGGGCGACTTCCACATCTGCTTCAACTTGAACTCCTCAACCCTCTTCTCGTCGGGGGTGATGGTGGCACACTTGATGCCAACGCTGTACTTCTTTACAGCTTCCGCGGCGTCCTTGGTCACCTGGTCGTTGGTGGCATCACGGTTCTCTATGCCTAAGTCATAGCTGGGGGGGGGGGAACCCAGACAGGGTGATGGGTGACCGAGGGGGCTACCGTAATGCCTGTCTCTGCAGGTGCTGGCACGCAGAGCCCGCCCCGCGGAAAGCGAAGGCTCTCGGGGTACCTTCACCTGCCACGTCTCACCGCGAAGGCACCCTTAACCAAACACAGCACCGAGAGGCTGCCGAGCTGGGCCTGGCTCCCTGTGCCGCAGCGGGAAGCTGTCTGGAGGGAAGCTGAATGGAGGCCATGGTGCTCTGCACCTTTGCTGGCTTTCACCATAGAGAGGCAATGGCAGCGGCCCTTTGGCAGGCTTCCATATCATCAACCTAAAAACGCAACCCGAGGCCCCACCTCAGCAAACTTTTCCTTAGTAATTTTCTCCCCCTAAACATAAAGGGGTCAGAGGGCTAACATTTTTGTTTCTTATATTTGATAGTCAAGGAGTGGGTTTTATAAATGTGACATTTAGTGACAAAAATCGAATAAATCCTTCATGAATGCCAGGGAGTTATAGGATGAACCTTTCCCTAATTCTTGGGTGAGTTTCTCTGTTCTGGAAACAAGCCTGCAGTTTATTGGATACGTATTGGAGTCAAGCAGTGGTTTTATATACCCCAGAGAGCCAGAGTGTGGTACACCAACACCCAGACTGCCGGTGATTCCGAGCTGAGAAGGATTGGTTGTTCACAGAGCACAAATGACTGTATACAGTTTTATATAAAGTATGGAATAGTTTGTCCAAAATAGGAAAAACTGAACAGTAATGTGACTATTTTGTTCTCCGAGGTTTTAAAGTTTTTTTTAGCTTTCATAACATGCTGAACCATGAAGCCTCTAGATTTTTTTTTTTTTTTGGTTCTTTTTTTAAAATTTATTTTTATTTATGTACTGTCTAAAGTTTTATATATGTCTCCTTTTCCCCCGATTGCCCCCTCCCCCCCAGCCATTCCCACCCCCGGCAAACCCCCCACTGCCCCACTGTCTGTGTCCATTGGCCATGCTAATATGCATGCATACAAGTCTTTCGGTTGCTCTCTAACCCCCTTCCCCTACATTTGTCTCTGGATCTAGTAGTCTTGTTCATCAAATTATGTTGATCATTATATCCCACATGTCAGTGAGATCATGCGATATTTAACTTTCTTGACTGGCTTATTTTGCTTAGCACAATCCTCTCCAGTTCCATCCATACTGTTGCAAATGGAAAAAGTTCCTTCTTTTTTTATAGCGGCATAGTACTCCATTGTGTAGATGTACCAGTTTTTTAACCCACTCATCTGCTGATGTGCACGTAGGTTGTTTCCAAATCTTAGCTATTGTAAATTGTGCTGCTATGAACATAGGGGTGCATATATCCTTTCTGATTGGTCTTTTTTAGTTCTTGTATTTCCTTTCCTTAGTTATCCCAACTCATGATGCAAATGCAGAAGCAGCAATCTTAAATTTCCAAATAAAAACAATTCCAGCTCTGGCTGGTGCTGCTCAGTGGTTAGAGCGTTGGCCTGTGCACCCAAGGGCCTTGGGTTCAATTCCTGATCAAGGGCATGTACCCCAGTGTCTTGGGCTTACTCCCTACTCTGGATCAGGCGCGTGTGGGAGGCAACCAATAGCTGGGCCGCATTGATGTTTCCCTCTCTCTCCTACTTCCCTTCTCCCTTCCACGCTCTGAAAAGCAATGGAAAAAATATCCTTGGGTGAGGGTTAACAACAACAAAAACTCCAGACTGCTTTGACCTTAGCTAATTCATATAAATGTAACAACAGAGCACAAACTCTCTTATCTCCTGGCACAGGAAGTGCTGAGCATGTGCAAACATCTACTCCTAACTCAAACCATGAGCCGTGCTCATGTTCATAGGAACCCTTCTCATTAAGAGAGACTAGCAGTACATGCCTGCAATTTCTGCTTCTCTTCTTAACATTTCAGAGAGAGAGAGAGAGAGAGAGAGAGAGAGAGAGAGAGAGAGAGAGAGAGATATTGAGAGAGAAAAGAAGAAGAAATAGCTTAGAGCACAGTCCAGCCTGCAGAAAACAAAACAAATGAATCCCTCCACTCCCCTCAGAAAAGAACCAGCCGTGTAATAGCAGCAATTTTAGAACAACTTACAACTTGTTTGAGCCGCTAAACATTCTTTGGTCTAGAGCCAGTGACAGTTTTTCCTGGGCCTAAGGACTCTCCTTTAAAACTCCATATGTCTCTAGGCTAGAGAGGCTCAAAGCATCTTTGTAACTATTCTACTGGCAAGAGCTCTGCACCCTCACCCACTGGCTTGCAAAGCTCTGAAGCAGGGGAGGGCTGGTAAAAACGCTTCTTTAACCTACTTGGATGATGCTTTTTAGGCTTCCTTTCCTGTGTGACTTGTTGACCTCTGCAGGTATTTGCTCCGTCTTGTGGCTGCAACTGTGATATTATCAACAGCTTAAGCTTAGGATAATTAAAAAGGGTGTCTAAGGTTACCATGCAAATTAAATGTCTACACCCAAGCAAATGAAACAGGTCCTCGGGACAAAGTCTGGGTAGAGGCATATACACTTCCAGGCGCCACTAGTTTGGCTAAAATGGGAGTCTACAGCCACTGCACCCTTGTAAAAATTCTATCTCTACCTGGTTCAAATGCTCAAAAAGCATGAGCAAGTTTATGAAAAACACAGGGGGAAAAAATGAGGGCATTCCATAGAGACTTCCATTATCTGTCTCTGAACAATTTAAACACAGACAAGGTTCAAGTCTTTAAGAAACAAATGTTTAGGGCACTTGTGACAGGTCGGCATTTTATTAAAATAACTCCAGGGGTTCTTTCTGTACTATCACTGTATGAAAAGGGCAAAGGCAAGGAATAAAAAGGGGAAAAGGTCCACCAGCTAGTTAAGTAGGAGGATAGAAAATAGGGCACAGCTCAGTGGTTAAGCATTGACCTCTAAACCAGGAGGTCATGGTTCCATTCCTGGTCAGGGCCATGCCTGGGTTGCAGGCTCGATCCCCAGTAGGGGACTTGCAGGAGGCAGCCAGTCAATGATTCTCTCTCATCATTGATGTTTCTCTCTCTCTCTCTCTCTCTCCTTCCCTCCCTCCCTCTCCCTCTTTGAAATCAATAAAAATATATTTTAAAAATAATAAGATTCATTGGCATTTATGCAGGCACTCTTCCCAGGCTTCATTCATAGGATTCAGCTGTAGCTATGTAAAAAAAGCTAGTTATATCCCCAAATCCCTTAAGATTATATTTTCTTTTTAAATATATTTTTATTGAATTTTTACAGAAAGGAAGGGAAAGGGATAGTTAGAAACATTGATGAGAGAGAAACATCGACCAGCTGCCTCCTGCACACCCCCTACTGGGATGTACCTGCAACCAATGTATATGCCCTTGACCGGAATCAAACCTGGGATCTTTCAGTCCACAGACCGACACTATCCACTGAGCCAAACCGATTTCGGCAAGATTATATTTTCCGAGTTTGCTGTGTGGAGGAATAGGCATGGGCCACATAGACAGCAATGGCCCCATAAAGTTATAATGGACATGGAAACTTCCTGTCCCCTAATGATGTTGGAGCAGTGTAATGTAGTGCAACCCACATACGTACCATTGTTACAACCGCCTTCAGCAGTCAGGACAGCTGTGTGGCAGGGGAACAGAAATGATTCCCCCAAATTTGTCTCTTGGGCCTAAGGATTGTTTTAGGCTGACTGATGTTAAGAAACAGACATGGGAGAAATTCTAAAAGCCAAGTACAAGAGACCCCTTGAAAACACATTTACATCCGTAAGGGGACTCTCCATTTGCCCAGGCTGTCCGCCTGCTGTTCCAGGAAGAGGGGCGTGACCTCAGCTCCGGACTCATGAATGCAGAGGAGGAAGACTTAACTACGCTTCACACCTTACCCTTGTTTACTGCTTCCCATGGGAGCCTCCTATCGCTGACCTCCCCCCACCATCTTCTGTCTTCGGCCAAAGACAGTGTTTAAGGTGGTGGCTTCAACCGTTCTGGAGAGTTCCTCAGTTCTCTTGAGTCGCTCCCACGTATATAGGAGGTATGCGTGTGATTAGACTTTCTTTTTTCCTTTAATCTCTCTTTTATCACTGGGATGTCTCAGCCAAGAACCAGAAAGGTAGAGGGAAAATTATTTTTCTTCTCCTACAGATCAAAAGACTATCACAGAGCCTAGGTGTGTAGTGGGCTTTGCCATCCAGATTTGCGTAAGCGCACGCTATGATGATCTCATGACAGAACCGCTTACCCACACACTTCTCAGAATGTAACCCTGCCGGTAAGTGGCACACGACTGTAATTTATTTACCTGTGCAGGTCCAGGTCCACATAAGGAAAGATGAGTTTTTCTTTAATCAACTCCCAAATGATTCGTGTCATTTCATCTCCTTGCATCTCCACCACTGAACCGCCACGGATTTTTTGAGACATTTTGATTTCTCTAAACCTTTAAAAAGAAAAAAAGAAAGAAAAAAAAAGATATGACACCTATCTTATCATTTATTTCATTATAGTTCCACTGGACAAAAGGATCCCTTTGTCTGCATGCCCGAAGCCCAATAAGAAGCGATCAGGAGTTGGCAGCCAAGAAAGTAAGGCTTTATGACTTGGGGAAGTGGCCACACCTGCAGTCCCAGGTGAGCTAATGCTTAAAGACCCAGAACCCACGTGTACTTCAGGGGGTGGATTACATAGGGGGGAAAAAAAACATTCGTCATGGTGACTAAGGCAGCTAGGGTCATGGTCAAGGTTGTGGTCTCTACAGATTGGTTGGTGCTAGGGTAGGGGGTGGTGATCAGTGCATCTGGCCCTGATGTCAGCCGTGGCATTGCTTCACCTGGTTTCACCATTTTTCTGGGTCTGAAGCTAACACACAACTGAGTCCTACATGCCATCTTTAGTTTAATTAACTGAAACTCTGTCTCTTGTGTTCAAAAGACCCGAGGCTTTGTTCTTAAGATTATTTGATGTTGACCAGAACCTCATCGTCCTGAGGGCTTAGTGCTTAAGGGAGTGGACATGCAAGGGAGAAGGTGAGTCAGGCGCTGGGTGAGGTCAGTTTGAATGAAAAGGAAAGAAAAGAAGGAAAGATTATATTAAATAAATGAAGTTTCTGCTCAGTATCGCTAGCATAAAAACAAAATAGAAACATTTGGTGACTACTGAAAGAATAATTCACAGTAGCATGACTGCACGAAAAGCTAATTAATAATGACAGTTACCGATAGAATTGAGCACATTCTCTACATAAAACACTGTGTTACGTACTGAGTGTGGTTTGAGTTAGCTCTCGCGACAACCCTGAAACACGGAATTATTTCCTTAGTTCCCGTTGAAATAAGAGAAGTAGCTTTCCCAAGGCCACCTGCTAGACCATCTGGAACCTGCTCCTGTAACATGCCCTCAATAATGTAATCATTATTCGTGACTATCTGTTTGTCCTAGAAAATAAGATTATTTCCACAATATCATGCTTATTTGAACGCTTCTATTCAACTCCTCACTATACTGTGCCCTCAAGATGAGCGGAATGATGAGAGCTAATATCTCCCTCTTTTAAGAGGCTGTTTTGGTTCAAATAACTACCTTCGAGGAGATGTGACAACTTCTTGTGACTTAAAGTTTAAAGAATTTTAAAAGTGAAAGATGAAGGATTCCTGGTGGAACTGTTTTCCTAAAGACAATCTATATATATAAAAGCCTAAGCGACTGTTTGACTGGTAGCTGTGATGCCCACTGACCACCAAGGGGCAGATGCTCAATGCACAGGCATGGAAACATGGAACAGACGGATGAATCTCAAAGGGAAGAGGGGAGGGTGGAGGGTGAGAAGAGATTAACCAAAGATCTTCTATGCACACTAGGGGCCCGGTACATGGATTTGTGCACCAGTGATCCCTTAGCCTGGCCTCTAGTATTAAATACTAAGGATGTGGAGCTCAACACAAGAGTGATTTCTCAATCAGAGAAATCTGTTTATACAAGGTCACTGCTCAGGACCCAAGCATATCCCTGTCTTCTTCCTCAGTAGCCCACCTCTGGTACTGTTCTCCTGGCTGTTCGTGGGCAGAGATAAGCTGTCAGTTGCGTGGCATAGGGAAGCAGCATTGTTTCAGGAAGAGATACCATTTTGAGGAACAGGGTGTGTGTGGGGGGGGGCATGCTTTGGAAAAGCAAGACTCTGAGGCTTAAAGGAAGGCCCTGTCCTATGCGTGTTCTCTTGAGAGGCAGAGGATGCCCTGAGCCTGCTCAAGGTATCTGTTCCCTTTCCTGATGCTCTAATGGGAAATTCCCCTCCCTCAGCAACACAACTGCCAATTGCTTTTCTTCCCCTGAACGTACAGCTGACTTTAAACATATTCGGTAAAAGGCCTGTCAACAGTCTCTCTTGAAAAGTTGAGCTCAAGTAACGTGGCCTTCAGATGAAAGGAGGCCACGATCAGGAGGTGGTAAGCCTCAGTTTGTGTGACAAGCCAGGGTATCTTTCATCCCCAGCCCCGTTTTCACTTCCCAGGTCTGCAATTCTGGAATCCTGCTGATGTTACTGTTACTGGGAAACCGTCTGGAACTCGAGTAGAATAAGAGAAATGAACAAACTGGTGTGGGTGGGTCAATTACTTCCCACTTGTAATTTCAAGGATGATTTGCAGTACAGCTTACTGGAGTATATGATTCAGTCCCACTGATCCCACTGTGACACCTGTTCCTGCATTTACCATAAAACAAAAGAGAGGCAGCACATTTAGCTTGGTCTTAATACTACATTTTCACGGGCATGTTTCTATATGGTATTATGCAAGAGTTATTACTTGGCTATTTTGTCCTTGATGGCAAATACAGTTAATAGGTCATGCACTATACTTGAAATTTCAACAGTGACAGTATTTTTTAGTTCATTATTTCCTTCTCAGTTGAAGTGATTAATAATGCATAATTGAAGTCTTTCAGTTTTCCTCACATTACTTAACTAAAATGTTATCACCTGTTTACTAAATGGAAGCTTTATTGAAGACCCTGGCTTACTACAATGTAGGACGTTATTTTATTTCTTTAAAAAAATATATTTTATTGATTCTTCACAGAGAGGAAGGGAGAGAGATAGAGAGCTAGAAACGTCGATGAGAGAGAAACATCGACCAGCTGCCTCCTGCACACCCCCTACCAGGGATGTGCCCACAACCAGCGTACATGCTCTTGACCGGAATTGAACCTGGGACCTTTCAGTCCGCAGACCGACGCTCTACCGCTGAGCCAAACCAGTTTCGGCATTATTTTACTTCTTTTAGACTTGAATTCCATGAGGTGGGCCTTAGGCCCCAGGGGGCTCACTGGTCTACCCTTGCCCCTAAGATTTTCTATCTCCACCCAAACCCTCAACTTCAGAAGGAAGGACTATTCCACAGGTGGGTTCTTTTGTCCGAAAAACAGCCTAATTCTAATCTTCTGACACACTTGTGTAACTCCAGAAAACACACCTGGACTCATGTGGACTACTGTAATAAAAAAGCTGCTCATCCCGTTAAATTTTTCATAAACCCCAAGTGTTTTTTTTTAGCCATTTTTTAAAAACTACAATCATGGGGGGGGGGGCGGGGAGTCTCGTGTAGAGAAGACGCTGGACTGAAAGAAATACGGAAGCAGTTGCAATTTATTATTGAAAATATCCCTGACTCACTCCCGCGCTGCGCCTGCCTCTAGGATCTCCAAGACCAATTGAAAGCAGGATTGCCCCATCGGAGGAAACACGGAAGGGGAGAAACGGCTCGTTCTTACCTTGACAAGTTTGGGATCAATTTCTAATCACTCCAACGCCTCTCAGTCTTGGGAACTCAGCTGAGTGCCCTTTAGCTCCTAAAAAAAAAAAAAACCACAAGAACCCACAATCAAACAGGGAATGAAAACCACAGCACGCAAAGCCCTCAAGTCGGGAGGATTCAGACAGCCGGTGTGTCGGGTGTAAAGTTCAGAGAGCTCAGTGCGGAGTGAAGCCGAGGGGCGAAGGGCAGGCGCAGGGCTGCAGACACCCTACAATTACAGGGCAGGGGAGCCCCGATCCCCGGGCCTGCGCACACCGGAGGGGGCGTCCGGGGCCGCCGGCCCTCAGCCGGCCTGGAGGTTCGGGGCTCGCCGTCCCTTGGGGGGTCAGGAGGGTTGTACGCCCCTGAGTGACGCAGCGCCCAGCAGGTCCCGGGCCTCCGGCGTCCTTGCGGCTCTTGTGCAAGCGGCTGGCAGCGGCGGCGGCCCGCTCCTCCCTCCCGGTGCCGGGCCTTTAAACGGGCGCCGGGACGGCCAGGGACCGCCTCCCCCAGAACCTGAGATCCCCGCCCCCCGCCCCCCGCAAACGGCGCTGGGCCCGCCCACCCCGCGCCCGAGTCCGCGACCCCCCGCCCGGGCGCCGCGTCCGTCCGTCCTCCTTTGTGGGCCGTGCCCGCGGCCGCAGCTTTCTGCCCCCAAAGCCAAGACCCCGTCTCCTCGGTGCCCGCCGCTTCCCGCCGCTCGGCGAGCCCCTCGGCAGGCAGACCCGGCTTCGGGTCAACGCCCCGCCGCCCCATCCCACCCTCCGGGCCCGGCAGCCGCAGCAGGGCACCTGGCGCCCGCTTCCTCCCCCTTCCCTGTCCCACGTGCAAACCTGGATCATCCCTCTAACCCGCTTCTCTGCGACCCGAACCCGCCGCCAAGTCCCTTCCTCCAAACCCAAGATCTCCCCTTCCTCCTCCTCCCCACTCCGGCCGCGGGCGGATCGGAGCCTCCCCCTCCAAAGCCGGCCCGGCCGCCCCTCGCAGCCGCGCCCACCTGCAGGCTGGGCCGCCGGCGCTGCACGGGGCGGGGGCGGCGCCGCGGCCACTCGCACCCGACTCACCGGTGCAAACACCGCGATCGGCCCCGGCGGGTCCCGGCTGCCCCGCTCTGTCACCGCCTCCGGGAACCCAGGGCGGACCGGCCGGCGGGCGGGGCGCTCCTCTCTTCCCGGCTTTGTCCCTCCCGGCCCCGCCCCTCGGCCCACCGGAGCCCCGCCCCCGCCCCGCCGCCAATCGCCGCGCGCGGAGCCCTCCGGGGGCGTGGCTAGGGTGGGCGTGGCTAGGGGCGGGGCCGGGCCCGAAGGGCAGGGGAGTCGCTTCCAGGCGCCGGGGCCCGCGGGGAAGAGGCTGCGGCGCCCCCCGGAGGTGGGCTCCGGCGTTTCCCGCTGGAAGGACGCGAATGCCGCCTGCAGGCCGGGGAGCAGGGCTGGTAGTCTGAGACCCGCGCCGCCCGTGAGCACCCTGGGCCTGGTGACCACCCGGAGTGTTTGCAGGGCCGCTGCAAAGGCCAGCGGGGAGCCGGAGAGACCGGTCGTGGTCTGGAACCGCCTTTGGCCCAAGAGCAGTGGTCCAGGCCATGAGTGCGGGCTGCTTCTGGGGGCGGCTCCCCCCGCAGCTGGAATGCGAAGGACT